AAAAGGTTCCAGATAGTGTATGTTAAAACTAGCTGCTACTGAGTCTACCCAACCAACCAATGGTGACCTATTATGTGTGAGTAGAACTGTGTTTCCTAGGAGTGTTCAAGGGTTGATTTTTCAGCAGTAAACTGCAGGCCTTTCTTCCAAGGCACCTCTGGATAGATTCAAACCTCCAACCTTTCACTTAACAGCTGAGCCTGTTTAGTAACTGCTTGCACCACACAAGGACTTCTCAATACTTACACACTAGTGATAATAATAACAGTAACAATAATGTTAGCTAACATTTACTCAGTCCTTAATACAATTATCCCAACAAACTTAAGAGATGGGTGCTATTATTAGATTCCTATTTTTAGATGAGGAAACTAGGGCACAGAACAGTTAAACAACTTTTTGAATGTCCACAGCTACAAAATCGCACAGACTGAATTTGAACAAAGTATGCAAACTGTTGCTGTTGTTGTTTGCCCTCGAGTCAGACCCAACTCATAGCAACCCCTCCTTGGGTTTCCGAGGCAGTGTCACTACGGAAGTAGATTGCCCCGTCTTCCTTCCGAGGAGTGGCCTGTGGGTTTGAACCACCAGCCTTCTGGTTAGCAGTCAAATGCCTTAAGCACTAGTTTGCTCCTAGTCTCTCTTCAAGCCTAGAACTGGACTAACTCCTATGGCTTAACTATCAGCCAAACAATAGACTGGCCTATGCGCTGAACACCTATATCAGGGAGTTGCACTCATTAGAACAATCAATCATGGAAGATCAGAAGGGCAGCATTTGAACGGGAGAAAGGATGGGAGGAAGGAATGCATAGGCAAGAACACAGGGAAAGGGGAACCACATGAGGATGTGGGAAGAGAGCTGTTACATTTGGCTGTTAACCAGAAGGCTGGTGGTTCAAACCCACCAGCCACTCCTCAAAAGGAAGTTTGAGAGCAATCTACTGCTGTAGTGATACTGCTTTGGAAACCCACGGAGGAGTCGCTATGAGTCGGATCCGACTCGATGGCAAAACACAACAAAAACTTACATATTATGTATTATTTTACTTACTGTCTTTCCTCTACTAGAATATAAGTGTCATGAGGATAATCTACCTGAATTTAATTTAAAGTAAAATGGGCTTTTTATGCCCTGAAAGTGAGATTATAACACCCTAAATGGACTATGCCCTGAAAGTGAGATTATAACACCCTAAATGGACTAA